TGCACCCTGGAAGCGACAACTTAGTTCGAGTTGTCTCGCTTAAAACACAGTCTGGAATATGGAAAAGACCCATTACTAAACTAGTCCCATTACCTGTAACCGAAGCATGCGAAAATACTGCATCAAACAAGGTGACTTCAGAACCAGAGAAATGCGGTAGCAACAAACGAAACCGCGTAAAAGGAAGCCGATCGCTCAAAAAGGGTGCAAACTATGTATTATTAGTTTTGCTAATGGCATTGACAACGATAACATGTGGGCTAGCAACACCAATGCAACATTTTAAAATAACGCAACTAGCGAAAGACCAACCAGTTTACTTTGACCCCGTCGGAAATATCCAGCTTATACATGATGAATGGAAACTTCTGGTGTACTTTAATTTGACAACATTTTGGCAAAGTACAATAAGGGTTGAAAAATATGTTAATCGTTTAGCTGAACTATGTGACTCGATGCCCAACGAGTCATGTCACTCTACTATACATCAGCTGAAATTCGAAATGAATCAAATTAACGAATACAACACACTGTTGCGGTCCCAACATCAACAAAGAAGGCGTCGCGGCTACGTCAACGGAGTAGGAAATGTCGCACGAGCCCTATTTGGTGTCTTAGATAGCGATTTTGCCGAGAAATACGCTCAGGATATACAAAAATTAAAACAAATGAACAATATTTACTGGAACTGATAAGAAATCAAACACTGATAATTGAATCAGAAAACAACATTATAAAGAAAAATGAAGACTTTGTCAAAACACAACTGGAAAGAATCCAGCATTTTATGAACGAAACTAAATATAACACTGCGTTACTTGAAAATAGATTTCAAATAATGAAAACAATGAATGACGTGAATGCTGAAGCATTAACTGCAAGCTTACTACTTTCAGTATTAAGAAGAAACCAACAGATGCTATTAGACGCACTGACAGATATCTACAGAGGTCATCTCGATATGAACCTATTTACACCTGAACAGTTGTCAGAGCAATTGAACAACATTGCGGGCATCATATCTAAAAGATTGACGTTACCAATCAAAAACAGAGACGGAGCCAACATCAAAAACATTTATAAAATTATTTACGTTAAAGCCCGCCTCACTGAACAGTACTTACTTTTCGAATTACATATCCCGCTACTTAGCGATGATGAGTACGCGTTATATCGCAGTATACCTATTCCTAGACCACAGAAGTCTAACCAATGTAAACAGCTGACACTTAGAACAGAGTATATTGGAGTGAACTTCGCCAAGAATACGTATATACATATGGAAGAAAATGATCTTCAGCAATGTACAACTATGGAGGCGGACAACCACATATGCCACGCCCATACAACTATCAGTAATCTCCATGGAGCTACAGCATCTTGCGAAGCAAAAATCCTGAGTCAAAATGTAAACAACATAACTTGCGATTGGAAGAAACAACAATGTTTCGACCAATGGATAAAATTACAAAGACCAAACATATGGTTGTATAATTGTGTCAACGAATGTCGAACTCGCATCGTATGCGAGAATCAAATTACAACAGCTACTATAACAATGACCGGGCTCCTTGCCCTAGGTCAGAATTGTGTATTACAACATAAAGACACTACTATATACTCACATAATGTTTTAAGCAGCAAAGCTAATATTAAAATGACCTTAGATGTACCAACTATCGAATCGCCAAATGATCTTTGGAATTCCATCAAAGACTCAAGGATCGTACTCCCAAAACTGGACTTATCTGAGGAACACAGGCTGCTGGACGCCCAAATCACCTCACAAAGAAAGCGGGAGAGCCTTCCAAGTGAATTGAGCATTCACGACATCGGCAACTACACTATAAGCACGTTGCTGGTGGGAGGAATCGTCGTTGCCGTCATAGCATGGCAAATAAGAAGATACATCCCAGCGTGTAGGAAAAGTAATCCTACCACAACGAAAGCAACTCGAGAGGAGCAAGAAAATATAGAACTGGAGGAGATTGCTGACTACGCGGAAATAGCAGGCGGAGCGCAACAACATCGTAGGCAGACGCCAGCCGCAGTGGGAATCTTTCATCTTTAATTTATTATTTGTTAAACATTAATTTTGCTTTTCTTTTGTATAATATTGATTACTTTATGCTTTTGTACTTTAACTCTTTTTAACTTTAATACCTTTTATGTAACTAGTTAAACACGTTTGGTAATCTGAGCACTTACGTCTAAACCTTTCCCTCGGGAGCATGTACGAGCCATAATGCTCATACAGCGATTTTATATTGAATGCAAACGTATATAATGCATCGAACTAATAACTTTAATTAATCGTACACAAGTCGTAACAAGGTCGCTATCACGTGCTAATGTGTAGCAATCGGGACTAACATAGAATACGTAATAATACGTAAAGTGCGATTCAGATAACTAAACGTAGCCTTTAATTGGTAGTCAGAAAATAAACAAGTAAACCTAAAGGAACTTCGGAGTCTGAATTATTGCCTACATCCTACAACTACAATCGGAGTTGTCGTCAACGACGAGAAAACCCCAACAGTGTGAATGTATAAATATTAGTGGAGTGTGGATGTAAGTACAGGTTTGTTTTGAATGTTTGTTGTAGAACTTGTTTGAATGGGGGTTTAAGAGGATTTTTATGCATACAAAACAATTAAAAAGGTACCTTAATACTATGTGGAGAGTATAATAATTATAACGTGCAAGACGACGCGACGTTATTAATATCTTTGTGTTGTTACTCACATGTAGGAAAAAAGAGTGAACGGTAAAGAGTCATGCTTTCAATAAAAGTTGATGTATTTGTTCTTCACTTCTAACAGTTATGGTTGCTCCTAAATCTTCTTTCTTCACATATACTTTGCCATACGCCGTCCAGCAATGTTTATATGCTCCCGTTTTTTTCAGCTCTCTGGCAAGGAAATACAGCCGAGATCCCTTAGGAGTCAAGTGTTCGGATAAGAAAATAGGTGTATCTTCCTTTGTTCGAAATCCTAAATGCTTGGCGCATAGCTTAGTCTTGTGTTTAATGTTGAAAGTCTTTCCCATTTTCAATATTTCGTTCCTTAGAAGAGTTGACCCGGTTTCAACAACAATCGGAGTATTTTGAGTTTCATTATTTTTTCCACGCACTCTGTAAATATCCTTAATGTCCTAGAATTTTCGAACTCGCTCCTAGAATTTTCGAAAGTTCCGCACGGTTTCCCTAGGATCCCATCATCAGATCCTGACCTCATGTAAACGGGACCATCTCGGGAGTATACCCTTTCAAAGAAAACAAGAATTTTGGAAATCGGTTCACAAATGGCGGAGTACTGCGCAAACAAATACAAAAAAAAAACAAATTCGCTACCCGCCGTCTGTCTGTCCCTATGTATGCTTATAGCTTTACAACTACGCAACGGATTTTGATGCGGTTTTTTTTATAGATAGAGTGATTCTTGAAGAAGGTTTATATGTATAATATATGCATATTGCACCAGTGCGAAGCCGGGGCGAGTCGCTAGTAAATTCATAAGTTTATAAGAGGATGAGTGTAACTACACTGCCTAGTTTACCGAGCCTACTTGGGCGAGTGATCGCAAGAGCGACTGCCGGGCAAGGGGTCTCGGGTTCGATTCCCGTGTCGAGCAAAGTATTACTGGATTTTTATAAATTCTCAGTTGTAGCACGGAGTCTGGAATTGTGTAGGCTCACCCCCTATTACATGGGACTCATAACATAAATAGTGAAAAGTGGGTGTAACTTCTGTGTGCATCTTTGCTTATCCCTTCGGGTATAAAAGGCGTGATGTTATGTGATGTTAAAAACTACAGTTCTATGAATTTTGTACGAAATTGTAAAAACGTCACGTTCTTTAGGGTCAAACAGCGAGCTTATTTCTTAAAAAATTGCTGGAAAAATACTAAAATTAAGTTGGTTTAAATCAATTAATGAAAATGTGACTAATTAAAAATCGCGGGTTACTCACGTGAATATACTGAGAAAAGCTCTACTAGTTTTGAAACACAGAGGGGTCATCATGAGCAGCGTGCGCGGTCGCGGCGATGTCGCGCGTCCTACTGGCTTTTCTCAGTATATTCACGAGAGTAACCCGCGATTTTTAGTTTATTTAGTATGTCTCGCGATAAATATATCGCTTGTTATAAAAACAATGAAAGTGTGATTATTTTTTAATATTGTATTGTATTGAACAGTCGAAATAATTTATTTTTGATTAAGGAAAGTACCCAATTCCTTGCTTTTACGAGAATCAAACCTGTTCTTTACCATCACCTGTTGGCGTTCCGTTTACACTCTGCATAAGAGATTTTATGTGACCACGCGTAGATGAGTCAGTGGGTAAATGAGTGAGTGAGTATTATTTAATTATTTTATTTATTTACCGCTTCTCTGTGTTGCTTGAGGGGTGTATGGGCATAAGTGAGTGATTAAAAAATTTCAGTAAGTCAGTGAGTGAATCCTTACTAATATTATAAATCTGAAAGTGAGTTTGTTTGTTTGTTCCACCTTCACGCCGTAACTACTGAACCGATTGCTTTGATTTTTTGCAGACGTAAAGTTAGAAGTACGGATTAAATAATAGGGTACTTTTTAACCCGAAAAATTGATATTCTCGAGGGAAAAACAAAAGTATTGGTATAGATGGCGCTGTGTTTATTGGTATATGTCACATAGGCTACTTTTTATACTTTTGTGATGCGAGCGAAGCCGCGGGTAAAAGCTAGTAAGTATATAATTGGGTTAGTCTTATTTATTGTTATTTATCTAGTATACGGATTTATTTTATTCAGTAATCGCAACAGATACTTAACGCTTCTCTGCGTTGCTAGTGGTGTACTGTGCTGGGTGTGCATGAGTAAGTAAATGAGTAAGTGAGTGAGTGAGTTAGTGATTGAATGAGTAAGTGAGTGAGTGAGTTAATGATTGAATGAGTAAGTGAGCGTGCGTAAGTTTGTGTAGTTTATTTATAATTTAGGTATTAATAATTTACTGACCGCTTCTCTGCGTTGCTGGTGGAGTGCTGGGTGCGCATGCGTGGGAGACTGGGACTCGGTGACGAGAGACTCCGCGCTGGACGCGAGGGAACTCGCGCTTGCCCATAGTAGGGCGCTCAACAAGTCACCTGCAAATAATTAATTTATGGAATTTAAACTTTACGGTAAGTTATCTAGGTCTATTTTTCATTGAAAGGTGTACAGTTGTCATCAGTTAAGTTTTGATTATAGAAGAGTAATCAAGAACTCATCTGCAAATAATTGATTAGGGATTTAAGACTTTACAGTTAAGTTATTTAGCTTTATTTTCTTTTTATTAAAATGTAAAAGGTATTTGGGAATAAATTCTAAGAAACGGTATTTCTTTTTCTTAAAAAAGCGTTGCCCCAATTTAAGATTTTCTCCTTTGTCGTGAGTGCGTTTACAAACATACAATTTAGCTAAAAATCGCGGGTTACTCACGCTTGCGTTGGTGTTAATGAGCTCGTAACGCAAGCAACAACATCAACGCAAGCGCCAACGCCGACGCGATTTTTAGTTAATTCAGTATGTCTCACTATAGTTATTATGAAAACATAACATAAAATTACACATACACATCGCAACCACAGTGGGTATGAAATTAAAAATCTAATTAGTCCGTCAGTTAGGTAATGAAAAAATATTAGACACGTATTTTTTTATTTTGTCGCATAATAAAACAATACTTAGATAAAACGAATCAAAGTTTAGGAGTGGGGGTTAAAACGTCATTTCTACGTATGTATAAAATGTACATAGAAGTGACGTCACGCGACATTTCAAATCAATATATCGTCGAAAGTATTCGTTTCTGTAAGAAAATAAAAAATACGTGTCTAATGATTTGAAATAATCTACCAGACGGACATTAAAATAAAAATTAGGCATCTACCCTATTTGTGGATCACACAAAAAGTTGCTCCGTCCGGGAATGGATACCACTAACCGTTGCGAGGCAGCCGATTGATTGCTCAGTCACCAGTTTTTGATAATTATATTTTACAACCCCTTGGTCGACTTTCATGACGCAAGAGTTACTACGTTATAGTCGGTAGGTATACTTATAATGTAGCTCTGCAGTCGGCTCTAACTTTTTTTATGGGATAAGCCCGTAAACGAGCAGACAGATCACTTAGGTCCCTTTTCACCAACGAAACTGATCACGATTACACCTAACAAAACTGATTTAAAGCGTCTAATCGAATTTAAAGCGTTTAAACGAAGTTACAGCTTCATTTTACATTTCACCGCTACAAACAGAAACTAGTTTACACGGAACTCAGTACAGAAAACACAGAACACAGAACTTAGGTTACTTTAAACTTAGGTTACGTGTAGCTGAGTTTTTACAGAGCTTGGTGAAAAGGGACCTTAGTAAGCAATTGGCGTCGCCCATGGACACCTGGAACACCAGAGGCGTTACAAGTGCGTTACCGGCCTTTTATGGTTAAGATTATTGGGATTCAGGGATTAGGGAGATTGGGGAAGGGGGTAATTGGGCCTCCGGTAACCTCACTCACACTACGAAACACAACGCAAGCGTTGTTTGACGTCGGTTTTCTGTGAGGCCGTGTTAATCCGGTCGAGCCTGCCCATTCGTGCCGAAGTATGGCTCTCCCACACTTGGTACTAATCACGCGGGTAGAGTTGTGGTTGACTACAAGATATACTCACGGTTGTTGTCGTCGTGGGTGGGTGTAGATGGGGTAGCGGGGCTCGCGGCCCCGCCATTCACCCCTCCGGGCGGTGCCGAGCCGTGAGCCGGAACATCAGGACCACCTGCAAATAATACATGTATTTTTATTATTTTCGCATAACAATTAGTGCAAGTACGACTGCTGGGCAAGGGGTCTCGGGTTCAATTCCCGAGTCGGGCAAAGTATTACTGGGTTGTTTCAAAAAATCTCAGTAGTAGCAGGGAGTCTGGAAATGTGCCCGGTATATGGCAAAAGGCTCACCCCCTATTGCTTACATGAGACTCATAACATAACATAGAGAAAGGTGGGTGTTACATTGTACAGTGGCCGTAATGTGCAACTGTGCAAACCCTTTCGGGGGTAAAAAGCGTGAAGTGTGTATATGTATGTTTAATGTGTGAGTGTGTACAAAACCTTAAAAACTACGTCATCGTATCGAGTCGTCCCATTATCTATTAAACCAGGAGGAGATTATCAATCTGTCTCCATTTATGTAATCAAGTACATGCTCTGATCATGCATATTATGCACTTTAGACCCTATAAGATAAAGGTTCAAGCAACTTTCTGACCTTAACACGTAATCACTACATAGTATAATACAAAGTCGCTATCCGCCGTTTGTCTGTCCCTATGTATGCTTAGATCTCTAAAACTACACAACGGATTTTGATGCGGTTTTTTTAAATATATAGAGTGATTCTTAAGGAAGGTTTATATGTATAATACATGCATATTGCACCCTTGCAAAGCCGAGACATTATGTATTTATAATAAATAATATTACATTTGAGGCATGTTTCACATCATCTTGTTGAAGTTACTATACCACGCGGCGATGAATATTGCACTTCGACTTTTGGAACGATACCTGCATATTTTCTATGGTAATCGTATTATCTTTAGTTAAGCAATCAACGTCTCCCATAGACATCGGCTGCACCAGAAGGGTAGTATAAGAGAATGATGTTTCGGCATGCTTGGGCCGGCTCGACCAGAGTACCAAGGCCTCACAGCAGTCATGCTAGCTGGTTCTTGTCGGACGGTGAGCATGGGTAGCTCGCCGCCCGACCAGAACCAGAACCGAGCGTGCGGCGCGTCACGTTCCGCGCGCGCCTCAAAGGGCCATCAGACCACCACAGATGGGGCCCAATAGGGCTGATGCCGATACGGAGCCGCGGAAAACTTAACGGGTTACCGGGGCTCCGGCTTGAAGTGCAGGAGTAGGAACGGGGTGGTTTTTAGTAACAGTCTGACACTCCTTCCCACCTCACCTAGGCGGTAAATCTTCAATGCTCAAATCCCTAACCTCTAAAAAGCTGGCAACGGACAGGTCACTCCTCTCATGTTGCGTTTGTCTATGGGCGGTGCCAATTGCTTAGCGTGATCCTTTTACTTGTTTGCTGCCCTATCCTATAAAGGTCTGTTCGACTTACCACAGAGGCCCGGCACCCAGGCACAGCGAAAAACACTCGGCGTCGGAAGCCGACAAAGCCGAGCGCTTGCTGCCGGCCGCGCTCAAAGACGCGCTGTCGCCACTGCAACAAACAAATATACACATTACACACTGTTAAGGTTACATAGATTAAGTATATTTTATCATAATCCGAGAAAATTTACTGGTAGACTATGAGGCACTTTACTTAAGATCGGGCATAATTCGGGATCGTGAATACTTCTCATCTAAGTAAGTACAGAGGCCCCGAATAGTTATTTTTTTCTTCTCCTCTTATAATATCTTCTGATTCAGTTCGTTGCGCGAACCAAGACAGTTACTCATGTCCCTGGGACGCGCCGGACTTCAGTGTTCCGGTGTTTTCATGGTTGTATCTACTGTAGATCCTGGCTTACAGGAGTTGCAGCGATTTTGGGCTTGTCCCATAAAAAAAAATAAGGCTCCAAGTAGGAACAGGGTATAAAGCCAGTTAAGAGTCTCACACTCCTCGCTTCGCAAGGCGGAAGAATACATTTGTTTGACAATGTATAATTATTATAACGAAAATTTGTTCGTACCGTCCAAGATTTTTGCTTAAACACAAAACATCAGTTTGTAAATAATCACTTAGTTGCGCCAAATCTCCTGACTTTTTCTCAAAATATATATAATAAGGCATTTTGGTACACTCGTCCGTTTACTTCGAACGTTAATTCAAGATTGGTCTTCATACATCAGGTTTCCATGAGATGACGCGATATCTTTATTGTACGGAATTATAATAATTAATACCTCTACTTGCCTGAGTAAATTATACAATAGTACATGCTATAAAAGCAAATTGTCTTTATCTGTTTGTGTGTATAGTTGCATAATATTATAAACACGCTTGTTTTTGCAAAAGAAAACAGTTCTATTGAAACTTGCAGTTCGTTCTTCAAAAGACCATTACGGAATGAACTAGCGTCCCGGAGCTGCCAGGAATGCAGCTGTAGCCAAATGCCCCTTTGCGCTTGTCTACATGTAGAATAGAAAACCAAATTATATGTATTATGAATTGACGTAAATTTTGACACTTGTCCATGCTCCTGGGCCTCCAGCCAAACGCCATTTTAGCGCTTGTCTACAGAGAGAGTAGAAATCAAAATGACACTGACAAGTGTCAAAATATACGTCAATTCCATATAATTTGGTTTTCTATTCTACATGTAGACAAGCGCTAAATGGCATTTGGCTACAGCTGCTGGTGAGTTACCAGGGGCATCAGCTAAAATGTAATTTGAAATTCTCATTTATATCTCAGCGGTGTATAGAACGCAGTACTTGCCTTCACGATTGTCTTCATATCTTATCAAATAGATAACAGATATACAGACAAACAGCAGCTACAATGAGACTTTATGACAAGAATATGCTTCATCTCTCTTTAATATTAAAACAACATAACATCACGCCTTTTATCCCCGAAGCGGTAGGCAGAGCTGCAAATTACGGCACTTAATACTAATACTTACAATGTAACACCCTCTTTTCACTATTTATGTTATGGGTCCCATGTAATAGGGGGTGAGCCTATTGCCATATACCGAGCACGTTTCCAGACTCCGTGCTACTACTGAGGTTTTTACAAACCCAGTAATACTTTGCCCGACCCGGGAATCGAACCCGAGACCCATTGCCCGGCAGTCGCACTTGCAACCACTCGGCCAATGAGGCAGTCATTAGAATATAGTAATATTAAAAAATATTATTTGTCCTCATAAATGTAACTGTTAGGGTGAAAGAAAGAAAGACAGTTTTTTGCACCGTAAAAATTTAACCAAGAAGAATAGTTAAAACAATAAATGGTAAAAGTGTGCACAGCGCAAAAAGGCCAAGTGCTCAGCTTAAATGCCGTGACCAGGCTGCTCTTGAAACCAATCTCAATATCAATGCAATTTCAATCCAATATAATCCCAAAAATTATTCAATGTCAAAACTAAACAACCCCTATCGTAGCTGTTAAAATATCATTCAGAGTACGGAATATAAAGCCAAACTCAATACCATTAGTTCATTCTATGTCCACGCAATACGGATGCAATGGGCGCTTGTGTTGCAACTCAAGAGTACGAAATTTTACAAAGTCAATTTCGATTGATCAGAATGGGATTCAAGAGTAATCCCCCAGAGAGTGATGGAGTCGCGGCGCTGATTTTCAGCAGCCTAGCTGATTTTCACTTGCCTGTCACTATAATGGGGCGTCCACATTTAACGAATGCTCCGCGAATGCACAGCTTCGTATAAACAATTTCCAACGCACTTTGTATGAGTTGAGCACCAAACCATTGTCGTGACTGCACGCGCGCAGCTTGCGAGCGGCACATTCACCAGATGTGAACGCATCCTTTTTTTTTTTAAAGGGGGGAAAATCATCGAATGACTGCTCCCGCCTGGGTGAGGCGGAAGGGAGTGTCAGACTCTTACTGACTAAAAACCACCCCGTTCTTTCTCCTGCACGTCGAGCCGGAGCCCCGGTTACCCGTTAGGTTCTCCGCGACATGTGAACGCATCCTTAGGGTGCGTCTACATTTGGCGAATGCGTCGCGAATGTGCCGCTTGCGAGCCGTTTGCGGGCTGCCCGCGAGCTACGCCCGTGCAGTCACGGCACGATTTTGTGTTCAACGCATACAAGTTTTGTATAAATAATAATTTTAACTGTACGTACGCAGCTCGCGGGTACCTCGAGAGCTGTCCAAACAAAATAAATAAAGCGGGAGAACTGTTCATTCAAGTTCATTCCTTTTTTTTTTGAGAAAACCATCCAAAGTCTTCTTGTGCACTATGTGACGTTTACTGAGTCAAAACCACCCCGTTCCTACCGCTGCTTCCAGTCAGAGTCTCGATAAGGTATTTATATGAAGCCATAAGAGTATGACCCAAATAACTTGGTAGAAACAGTTACAAATATCGGATATACTGTTAAGAAATGGCTAGCTATTGTTTTAGCGTGTTTGTTAAAATATTTCAAGGACAACCTAGCTAGGAATCACAGTCGCGTGTTCATTTTATCGTAGCTAACTCGAAAATGAGCGCTGTGCTATTTACGAAGAAAATTTATTTTGATAAAATCATGAAGGCCTTGGTTTTAATTAGATTCTTTCATGTTTTGTATTTGCGTTGTTATTTAGGACGTGGCTTTACGGCATCTTATTCCTTTAACGAATTTTCTAATATCTGAATCAAAAGCCATGGCTTTACCCTCGTAGTCAAATGGCTATAATTATTTTATAAAATATGTTAAAAAAAAACTGACTTCATCCTTCCCTCTTTTTCTGAAGTCGATTAACCCTTTGAGTACCGTCATTATAGACACAATTAAACTGTCAAACACCAAGCGGTCACCGGTGACCGCGACCTATTGTTCTTTAATTGTGTCTATAAAACCGGTACTCGACGAGTTAAAGAACAATAGGTTGCGGTCACCGGTGTGCTCGCGGTGTTTGACAGTTTAATTAATATAAGACGAAACCCCCTCCCAAGTGTAACAAACACTTTTCTGAAAACCGCACCAAAATCGGTTCAGCCAATTGCGAGATAAACGCATACAAACATACAGACATACAGCTCAAACCTATTTTGAAGTTGGTTAAAAAGTAATCAATGTCATTATTAACTAGTTTAAATTAACCTCCAAACATTAAAATTACTATAAAATCGCTCCATCGTGACATGAAAGACCAAACACATTTGCATTCGTAGTAAATAAATTTAGGATTTACATTTAAAAAAATAGTTAATGAACTTACCGGTAAAGCTTGACCATTTTGAACGAAATTAAAAAAGTTCTTAACACTTTAAAACTATAAAAACTTCTTAAAAAAAAAAAAACGATCAACAACGAATACTTTTAATATCACAATCAAATGGAATGTTTCAAAAAAATTAAAAAAAAAAAATAAAAACAAAAAAGAAATTAAGGTATCGTAAGGCGATTTTTTTCTGGCACTTTTCTAAAGAATATTTTTATGCTGTATGCCGTATACAGCATATTATTATTGTTTAGTAAAATAGAATCTATTTTAACGTTTTTCAGAGACGTGCGTATCGAACGAAAGCTGTTTAGCAACTGACGAAATCTTTGTAAACAGTCCGCGGCCAAAAAGGGAGGGCTTGCCAATATTCAAAAATAGAATCAGTGTTGTTGATCTAAAAAAAGAATCAATTGCTGCGCGTGAGTGGCCTGTCGTGATCACTTTCACGTTTTTTGTACACGAGATTAAAAAAGATTAAGAAATAGGTAAATAATGTGATTTAAAGATAATTTCATGAATATAATTATACCTAATACTTAAACAGGCATAGATTTGATTGTCTTGTCAGTCGTATGATTTTCCTACGTTAAGAAAAGTCTACCAAATTAATTAGTTTGTCCAATATTAAAAAAAAAATACAAAAGTTTTTAACTTTTTTAATATTCGACATATGATTACCTTACGGGTTACCGGGGCTCCGGCTCGAAGTGCAGGAGTAGAAACGGGGTGGTTTTTAGTCAGTAAGTCTGACACTCGCTCCCGCCTCAACCAGGCGGGAGCAGACATTCGATGATTTTCCCCCCTTAAAAAAACCCGACAGCTTAACCTAACACTACGGAGCACCGTCGTTATTATCAATACACTAGTTTCTGCCCGCGACTTCGTACGTGCAATCCCGTTTTCTCCCGTAGGATTTTCAGGATTTATTCTGTCGTAATATAAAAATTTAATTACATTTATTAATGTCTGCTATTTTAATTCACAACAATCAATTAGGAACATGTCATCAACCTTCATTAAAATACCGAATTAAGATTGTAAACAGGCGAAACTAATGCCAAATTATACCTTCTATTAGGTAAATTAATCTTCTCTACTTTGTCATCTGTTCTCATTTTTAATCAAAAATCGTATTACTAAGCTTATTTAGAATATAAATCTCAAATACGAGGTTACGAGAGCGATCAAATAATTAAAATTCTTATAAACTAGTGAAAATTTTAGAATTGAGAGCAATAAATGTTATTTTAGCAAACAGTGTATATTGTTAGAAAAAAATGTTAACAAAATGCTTGCCAAACTATTCCTTTGTAGAATTTATGATATAAGGAA